TCTGTGCCTGGCTTTTTTCTCTTAACATAATGTCCTCCAGGGTCATCCACATTGTCACAAATGGCAGGATTTCCTTCCCTTTTATGGCTGAGTAGTACTCCATTGTGTACATGTACCACACTTGCTTCATCCATTCATCTGTTGATGGACATTTAGGTTGATTTCATATCTTGGCTACTGTGAATAGTGCTGCAGTCACCCTGTGAGTCTCTTAAACATTCTGATTTCACGTCCTTTGAATATATACCCAGTAGTGGGATTGCTGGATCATGTGATTAGTTCTATTTAAAATTTTTTTTTTTTTTTGAGATGGAGTCTCGCTCTGTCACCCAGGCTGGAGTGCAGTGGCACGATCTCGGCTCACTGCAAGCTCTGCCTCCCGGGTTTACGCCATTCCGCTGCCTCAGCCTCCTGAGTAGCTCGGACTACAGGCACCCGCCACCTCGCCTGGCTAGTTTTTTGTACTTTTTAGTAGAGACGGGGTTTCACCGTGTTAGCCAGGATGGTCTCGATCTCCTGACCTCGTGATCCACCCATCTCGGCCTCCCAAAGTGCTGGGATTACAGGCATGAGCCACCGCGCCCGGCCTATTTTAAATTTTTTAAGGAATCTTCATACTGTTTGCAATAATGTTTGTACTAATTTACATTCCCACCAACAGTGTGCAAAAGTTCCCTCTTCTCTACATCCTCACCAACATGTATCTTTTGTCTTTTTTATAGCAATCATTCTGACAAGTGGGAGGTGATAACTTACTATGGTTTTAATTTGCATTTCCCTGATGATTAGTGATGTTGAGCATTTTTTCATATGACTGTTGGCCATCTGTAAGTCTTCTTTTGAGAAATGTCTATTCAGTCATTTGGCCATTTTTAAATCAGGTTGTTTTCTTGCTATTGATTTGTTTGAGTTCCTTATCTACAGTCATGCACTGCATAATGGCCTTTCAGTCAACCACAGATGGCCTACATGTATGTTCCTGCCTCCATATGCTTCTGTAGATAGTCTTCCTTGGAAGGTCTATCCTTCCTCCTCTAGGCCAATCTGAATACTGGCATTCAGATCATGGCTAGAAAGAAATGTTAGCCATCCCTTGAAGATGTGTTCCCACAAGATTATATTTTTACTGTACCTGTTCTATGTTATCATTGTGTTACAAATCCCTACAGGATTCAGTACAGTAACAGGTTCTACAAGTTTGTAGCCTAGGAGCAATATAGAGCCTAGATGTGTAGCCTATATGTGTAGTAGGCTATACCATCTAGGTTTGTTTAAGTATGTTCTATGTTGTTTGCACAAAACCGCTACCTCACAATGCATTTCTCAGAATGTATCCCATTGTTAAGTGATGCATGGCTATATTTTGGATATTAATCTTGTATCAGATATATATATATAATTTGCAAATATTTTCTCTTATTCTGTAGGTTTTCTCTTCACTCTGTTGATTGTTTCCTTTATTGTACAGAAGCTTTTTAGTTTGATGTAATCCCATTTGTCTATTTTGGCTTTTGTCATCTGCGTTTTTGAGTTCATATCCAAAAAAATCATTGTCCAGACCAATGTCATGGAGCTTTCCCCCTATGTTTTCTCCTAGTAGTTTCACAGTTTGGGGCCTTCCATTTAGTACTTCAATTCATTTGGAGTTGATTTTTGTATATGATATGAGATAAGGGCTTAATCTCATTTTTCTGCCTGTGGAAATCCAGTTTTCCCACTATCATTTATAGAAGAGACTGTCCTTTTCCCATTGTGTGTTCTTGGTATCTTTGTTGAAAACCTGTTGGCTATAAATACGTGGATGTATTTTTGGCCTCTCTATTCTGTTCTGTTGGTCTATGTGTCTGTTTTTATGCCAGTACCATGCTGTTTTGGTTACTATAGCTTTGAGGTGTATTTTTGAGCTCAGGTAGTATGGTGGCCTCCAGCTTTATTCTTTTTGCTCAGTATTTCTTTGGCTATTCAGGGTCTTTTTTGGTTCCATATAAATTTTAGGTGTGGATGTATTATTTAACAAACAACTTGTTATTGAAACAGTGCTTCCATACTACCTAAAACAATAATGTTTTAACTTACTGGTGTACGATCACTCCATTGCCATGATCCTTGTAAATCTGGGCTCCTTTTATTCAAACCAATCCACAGCCAACGCTGGCCACTATGTAAAAAGCAAGTGTTAAAAATACGAGGACAATGCTTGGCAAAAATATTTAGCACTCACATGTCTAAAGTGCGTCACTAATTGAAAAGCACAGTTTCAAGCAACATAAAGAAGTCTTTTGAAACGAAACTAAGTCCTTAATATGGGGTAGCTACATAAAAAGTACCATACTTTTAAAACTACATTTTAAGCTGTTTTCTTCATATGAAAGGCAAAAACCATTCTTTGAATTTTAAGAGGAAAAAAGACTTTTACTGTAGTGCTTGAATATTAAAGAATATTTTCAGATACACTCAAAAGCAACAATGGCATTTCTTTAAAGTGTTTGTCTATAACACTATCAAACATTCTTCTTTAAAATGCAGAACTATTTGGCTAAATTTTTGTTAAACAATAGTTGAAACATAGTTGAGTTCCTACTACCCACCAAGTTTAAAGTAAACAAGAATGTGAGTATTGCTTATGTGCCAAAGAAATATACCAGAAAAATATATTAAGTAATCATTTAAGTGATTATGCTTATCATCTATAAGTATCATACTTTTATGTAAAAGGCATTAAGCTAGGAGCAATGATGACACAGAGAAGTTTAAGACCTACATCTACCCTCAAATGTAATATGAAATAGAGATAAGATATATATGAACAAAACACTAAAGACCATTTATGAAAGCTATCAAATGAGTTGTACACATTTTAGATGATACAAAAGTTCAGAGAAAGGAGAGGTCACTGTGGACTGCAGAAAATGAAGAAAGACTTCGTGAGGTTGGTAGGACAAAAGATATTCTTCAAGGGATGGCTAACATTTCTTTCTAGACATGCTCTGAATGCCAGTAATCAGATTGGCAAAGAGGAAGAAGGGTAGGCCTTCCAAGGAAGACTATCTACACAAGCATATGGAGGCAGGAACATATGTCTAAGTAATCTTTCCCCTCAAATACATTTATGCTCTGGCCAGGGATAAATATACAGCATAAGTAGACGTGATATAAGCATAGAAATTTTTCTCTGCCTCTAACTCCATTTGAAAATATTTTCTAAAATTTATTACACTTTTGGGTGACAAATAATCATCCATATAATTTAACCTTTTTTGTTGGCACATGATATGTATGATCAGTACATGTGTGTATACATATATAAATGTAATATGCCTATAAGTATAATATAGAATACATTTTAAAGAAGGGGTAGATTTCAAATCTAAAAACAATGCATATTCTCAAGTTCAGCAGAATATATGGAATATATGGAACATATAGCTACGAGTCTACAGAGAAATATCATAAGTTCATTTTAATAAAATGTACTAGTGAATCAAAGGCTGAAACAAAGAATTTTAAACTAATTTCTTATTTTTAAATAAATAATTGCTTTTCTTTATTTCTTACCTTTATTCAACATTCCCTCGTATTTTAACAACAATAAGTACTTTTTCATCTTTTCAACCTCAAGGTTTTTGACTTAATGCAATGGAATATGAATGAGGACTGTCCTGTTTTGGTTTTCATTGTTATACTGTTTTCTTCCACAGAGAAAGATCCACCAATTTGTGGATTTAAGATATATCCAGTGGAGACAATCAAGTCCAGTTTAAATTTAGCAGCTAAAGAGGAATTTGCAGTTTATGCCTTCTGCTCGTCAGAGCTCCCTTACAGGCTTCTGAGTGTATCAGACCACCCGAGTGCTGGATTTCTAAACCACAGGGTCTAGACAACTGGCATATACAGCACAGTTAGAGCCAGACGGCTAAAATAGAGAGGGAGTTAAGTATTCTTCCTCATATTTATTTGGGGGAAATAACTTCATTTCTCCCAAATCTTTGCATACTGTATATTTGGGCCTGGGGAATTCGTGTAGAATTTTGTGTTTCCCTAAAGTAAGCATTAGCTATTTTATCTTCTTTACACAATCCACAATACAACCAGGAAGACAATCAAAGATCATTTGTCACCTGCATTGCAGAGGCTCCCACTGGCAGCCTTTTTAGTGGTTTGTCCTCAACTTTCTAGGCTCCTTAAGCCCTTACCCAGTCTTCTCTCAGCTAATAGCTCCCCTTCCTTCCACTTAGAAACATCTCTGCTTTCAAGCCCATTTCTGGCTCCTTTACTGCATCTCAGAGGACAGTTTCCTAGAGAAGAGTTTGCTCGATTGTCCAAAATTTCTAATCTCTACTACTTTCTGAAACTGAGTTTCATTTGAACACAGAAATTTACAGATTTCAGGTTCATTTTAAAGAACTCACTAACATGTCATAAATACAGAAAATAATAGCTACGTGTATGTATTTTTTTTGTGTGCTGGATCAGAAGTGGAAAATATTTCCTCAATTGTAACTCATTCCTGGTTTGACCTAGTTGAACTGTAGGAAGATAAAGGGAAGAAGAAATTGGCTATCACATTAATCATTGCACACTTCCAATGTTAATTTTAGAAAATGTGAAGGAAAAAATTGTACCCGATCATAACCAGGGAATCAAGTCAAACTGAGATTCCCTCTTTCTCTTTACAAATTCCTGGTACTCCAAGCACTAAGTATATGGTTTTAAAACTACTGGGTTATGAAGAGATTGCATAAAAGGTTAATATGTGTAATTGTGTTAAAATTCCTATTCTCAATCAAATTTCCTGCTGCATCTGGTTGCTAAGGAAAACAGTATCTCAGCCATAAGCCCCAATAAATACTATTTGATGAGGGTGCTTATTCTACAAAGCCTTAGATTTATGTCTAAATCCATTCATGCCACATCACAGGAGGCAGTGTACACAGCAGCAATGGCATCGCAAACAAGGCTTTCTTCTCTAATCCTATGGTTATTTCTGCCCTACAATGGCTTTCCCTGTTGGGCTACCATTAGGAGTTGCAAAGATCTTAGAGCCTTAATGATTTGGTGCACCATGAATCTTTTTCCCTGAAATACAAATAGAGATGTGGAACTTAGATTGTGAGAGGTACAGCAGTAATCTGACTTAACTGCTTGGCATGCAATACACAATTTGAGCAATAGACATCTTGCTGAGAAAGGTCAATTCCTGCAATAAAAACCAAGGCATCAAGGAGTATGCTTTAGAATCATTTTCTAATATAAATGGGTTTGCTTCCTTCTTTCCTTTCAGCCATAGTTACAATTTTGGTTTTAGAATATGTTCTGTAAGCACAGCACAGGCAAACACTTTCTTTATTATGGAGAAGTTATTAAGCAAACAACGCAGTATGCTTACTATGGCATTGTGTTAGCTGCTAGGATCCAAGTACAAATAAAATACAGTTCCTACGAGTGAAGGGATTATGGAGATTTGTTTTTTCTCTGTGCTGTTCTGTTTTCTAAATTCAATATACATTATTTTTATTAGAAAAAAATTAAACATAGTACATTCTATGGAAAATAGGTTTTGTAAAAGCTATATGTGTAGAGATGTAAGTAAATGGAAAGGGTTTACATTAAGTGTTTACTATGTTTATAATCAGGAGCTAGGATTTGAGGTGAGTGATTGCTTCATTATCTGTTTTTATCTTTTCCAAATTTTATATAATTAACTTGTATTAATTTTTTAAAGAAGGGAGTGCTCAACAAGTGTGATTCAAAACAAAGAAACAAATCATAAGTTTCCTTTCATGTTTTGTTTCCTGGTGTAATTCATTCTGTATATGGATGCTCTCTTAATGGTCATTTCTATCACATATGATGTTCCAATGTTTTCTGCTTATTGTTTCTCACAAATATCTACAACCTCATTGCTTAGTACTTATCCACGGCTCTTCGTTCCAGTTAGGGTTACTAACCGCTTGCTTGGAATCTAGACCTTATATCAGCATTTTACTTAAAAATACTTTACCTGGATAGTATGATATTGTCTGTGTCAAGCTTGAAATCTAAGGGCCGTTAAGTTGCCCTGCTTGAAACTTACATGTCAGGAAGTATTGGTGGTGTATTAGAAAGGCCATGCCCCACACATATACACCATGGAATACTATGCAGTCATAAAAAAGGATGAGTTCGAGTCCTTTGTAGGGACATGGATGAAGCTGGAAACCATCATTCTGAGCAAACTATCACAAGGACAGAAAACCAAACACTGCATGTTCTCACTCATAGGTGGCAACTGAACAATGAGAACACTTGGACACAGTGTGGGGAACATCACACACCGTGACCTGTCATGGGGCGGAGGGATGGGGGAGGGATAGCATTAGGAGAAATACCTAATGTAAATGATGAGCTAATGGGTGCAACAAACCAAATGGCACATGTATACATACGTAACAAACCTGCACATTGTGCACATGTACCCTAGAACCTAAAGTATAATTTTAAAAAATGCACATGTACCCTAGAACCTAAAGTACAATTAAAAAAAAAAAAAAAAAAAAAAAAAGGCCATGCTCCAGAGGTGGCCATCATGAGGACTTCCATGATCACCAAAGTCACACTGGAAGCTTTGGTCATGAGCAGAGTGAATGTGAGAACTGGGTTAATGTCGCTGAAATCGGAAGCTTGTTCATCGGCATGATAGTAGGATTGGGCTCTCATTGGTGAAATATAAGTTATTTGAGATGTGGGGATTAGCTAAAATATTTAGAGAAACTCTCACACTTCTCAAGAATATATTAGAATTTTGTGAGGCCACAACCTGTATCTTAGTAGGGCTTGATTCTAAACAATCCCACATCCAGTCATTGGGTCCTGTGACTGTGACGGCCTGATACTCACTACAATGGGAACAGAATGCTGCCACATCTGCTCAAGTAAACCTGTGCAAGGTGATAGTTAAAACACCAAAAAGGACAGATTGCTGGGATGTTGTCAAGCTTACAAAACAGGTTGTATAAGGTGTTTTGTGTCTGCTTCAATAAATGTTTGCATAGCAAATGTCTGCATGTATGGAAAATTTTGGTCTGAATTTTGTATTTGTTATAATCTATTCTCAAGGTTGAGGGAATAGCTAACACTCACCTCAAAAATAACCCGAGAGTTGGTATTTAGTATATACAAATTACCTTGGGTGAGTCTGCAGTGAAATTTTGTATATTAATTTCTAACACTAGACAATGATGTCTAGAATACCTGAGATTCTATGACAGATGCTTAATAAATAAATATTTATGGAACACAGGTATTGTATTTTATATTAGGTTTCCAGTACACTGTAGTGAAACTACATTCTCTAATGAGAAAAACACAGCAGAAGCTATATTAGAGCAAATCTGGGCCAGGCACTGTGGCTCACATCTGTGATCCCAGCACCTTGGGAGGCCAAGGAAGGTGAATCGCTTGAGCCCAGGAATCTGAGATTAGCCCGAGCAACATGGAAAAACCTGTTTCTACAAAAAAAATACAAACATCAGCTGGGTGTTGTGGCATGTGACTGTAGTCCCAGCTACTTGGGAGGCTGAAGGAGGGGGATTACCTGAGTCTGGGAGGTTGAGGCTGCAGTGAGCTGTAATCACACCACTGGACTTGAGTGACAAAACAAGACCCTGTCTCAAAACACAAAACAAAACAAAACAAAAAGCAAATCTGGAAGATATGGAAATTTCCAAAGAAAATATTTTATTCATTTATTTTTTAGAGACAGCATCTCACTCTGTTGCCCAAGCTGGAGTGCAGTGGCACTATCTTGTCTCACTGTATCCTTGAACTCCTGGGCTCAAGTGATCCTCCTGACTCAGCCTCCTGAGTAACCAGGACTACAGGTGTGTGCCACCATGCCCAGCTAATCTTTTGGTTTTTGTTGTTGTTGTTTTTTTATAGAGACAGGGTCTCCCTGTGCTGCCCAGGCTGGTCTCGAACTCCTGGTTTCAAGCAGTCCTCTCACCTCAGGCCCCCAAAGTGCTGGGATTACAGGCGTAAGCCACCACACCCAGCCCAAAGAAAAGACTTTAAAAATCGCTCAAAATCTTACTTCCTAGAGATATAATAGCCATTACCCTTTTTGATATATTTTTGAAGTCTAGTTTTAAGTGTAAATAGTATATGCTTTACTCTGATAATTTATCTTTTCCTCTGCTTAATATATATAAACATTTAGACATTATAGTATTGTTTTTATCTTAATGTGCAGGAGATGAATTTCAAACGAAGATTAACAATAGTGATGATATAGGGATCCTTACCTTTTTCAGACTTTCGGGGAAATGCACTTAACAATGCTTCATCATTAAGTGTGATATGGCTATTGATTTGAGCTATTCTTCTATTCTAATAAGAATTTATATATTATATTTATTAAATGTAAGTGTATATTTATGTATTAAACCAGGAATGAATAGTGGATTTTACCAGATGCATTTTCAGCACCTATTAAGATGATCACATGACTTGTGATTATTAACTCAATTGCTATTTGAGTACATATGAGACAAGCACATAACATAAGCAAGGGAAGTGGGCACAAGAAGTAATAAATTAGAGACCATGGCAAATTGGAGAGTCATACCCATTTCTGGAGGCCACCAGCTACTCAGAACTAACTTATTTGTTGCATAATGAAAATGTTGCTAGTTGCTTTAATTTTTAAAATTAAAAAATTTTTTTAAAATTTAATTTTTAAAGGATTTTTATTAGAATTTCACAATTTTGTAGTATTTTGTGGCCCCTTCCTCCCAGGAAAAGAACATTATAGTCTTAGAGCTGGATAAGTACTAATTGGCAAGTTTTGTTTTAAGTCTCTTTCAAAAGCGCAGACTTTATTATTGAACAAATTTGCAGACTCGCACTTCATCAAAACTGAAAACGGGCTGGGCGTGGTGGCTCATGCCTTCAATCCCAGTACTTTGGAAGGCCGAGGTGGGCGGATCACCTAAGGTCAGAAGTTCGAGACGAGCCTGGCCAATATGGTGAAACTCCTTCCTCTCTGTATATATATGTATATATGCATGTATATGTGAGTGTGTATAGATATAAATACACACATGGGCACCTTGTTTTTGTTTTTTGTTTGGTTGTGCTTAATGACTTAAGATCAAACTCCTTCCCTGGCAAACAAGGACATTCCAATTTCATATCCAAATCCCATTTTCTAGCTAATTTGTATGACTCATTTCTCCTTGACCATATCTGTACGTTCTGGTCTCAGTTCCTTTGCTTATGTTCTGATTTTTTTCTGGCTCCTTCTCCTTCTCCTATCTTGCCTTTTGAAATAATACCTACCTTCCAAGAATCAGCCTTCTTTATGACACTTTTCCTGATTATACTCCCGGAAACACTCCCTCCCTCCTCTGAATTCCCGAGGCCCTTCCTTGCCTATGTTCTAGATTTTCTGCCACACATTGCTGTTGGACTTTATTAAACAAAGGGTAGGGAATACATTTCATTCACCTTTAGATTCCTCATAGTGTCTGCATATTAAGAGTGCTTGATGTTGCATGACTGCTAAGCAACAAATGACCTTTCAGATAATAAAACATGTCCATTTTTTTTTTCCAACAGGGAGAGAGGGTAAGGACGTGCCAATTTTGAATATCTAGAGGACATCAAATTCAGCATAGAAATTCTCATTCTAAAAGCATTACCTGAACTGGTCTGTTAAAAAGTGAAGAAATTCCTTTATTTCATGCACACGGCTGAAGCTAGAAAGGTGTGCTCCAAGGGCTTGGCAGAATCGTTCAGCTTCTTCCCAGTTCCTCTTTCTCACAATTCTTTCTGCATGGAATACCTTAGCAAAATATAACGTTAATTTGTTTTCTGGTATAATCTTAAAGTTTCACAGTGTTAAAGTCAATTACTGTCACATGTGTGGGCCCCTGAAATGAATTCTGAAAGGTGTAATGAAGGCACAGGTAAATGCACAGATACTGAGACACAGACTAGTCCGGCTGAAAGTGCCAACTCAACTGAGGGCCAGCACAGATGCCAGTCGCTGTGGTCAGATGGATGGCCTTCCTCAGCCAGACTGGGGAAGTGGTCCAACAAGATCCATGTTCTCCCGTATTCCTAGGATCTTGAAAGATAAAATGAACCAGTAGGCAAGGCTATAAACGATACATATACATGCTTTGGGAGTAGGCTTTGGCAAAGAAATGTGCTAACAATAGAAATTTTGAATATAAGACACTGTGACCCACACAGTAATAGAACTATGTTCTGACGAGAAGAACCAAAGAGCAGTCTGCACTGGTGTGTGAACATTGACAGAAAGTGACAAAAGTAAACCTGGAACTTGGGCTGTTTCAAAAGAAGAAGAAAGGGGAAAAAGAAAGAAGAAAGAAGAAGAGGAGGAGGAGGAAGAAGAGATGATGACACAAGGACAGGCCAAATTACATTTGTCCCAATTTTTCAGTTCCTTGTAATATAACTAGATGGTCTTGCCACAACCCCCTAGTGGGTGGAGTACACTTCTTTGTCCCTTGGCATGGGGCTTGGCCATATGACTTACTGTGTTGATGGGATATTAGTGGAGGTAAAGTGAGCAGAGGCCTGAAATGTGCTTATATGGTTGGCTTGCCTTCTTGGGCTCCAGCGATATACCACGAGAATAACCAACCCCTGCAAACTGTTGCCCTTTCAGCCTGAGCCCTAGAATGAAGGGCTGGAGCCCAGCACAGCTGACCTGAAGTTGGGAGCAGAGGTCACCGAACTAGATTCGTCAAACCCTAGATGGCCTGGAGATCTGTGAGAATGTGAGGCTATATGTTTGTTGTCATAGCCACCGAATTTTGGGGTGGCATCTAATGGTTTGTTTATGGGACTAGCTGACTGATGCAGACCCAAATACATAAATATAAATACATATATAAATATATATATAATTTTTTACACTATAAACAGTGCTGGAGCTATCAATTTGACAACAAGAAGTAGAGGAATATGAGGATCATAGGCAGAGCGGCAGTATGGCATATAGTATACCAACTTACTGGGAAAAAAGACTTTGGGAAGGAGCCAGTTCTTGGGCCTGCCTTTTCGGGTAGGACACGTGCAGGGTGTGGGGCTGACCACCTCATGCCAGAGGTTCGGTGACGCCCTGCCAAGGACTCTGTGCTCCAGAGCACTTTAGTTAGGTTACATAGGACTATGGAGAAGAGCATAATTTGTACAAGGACACGAACTAGGATAGTGGAAAAATAACTTCATTAAAGGATAGAATGAGAATGTCACTTTACCTTATAACAAGAAAGACTTGTGGGGAAACTCTGCCATCCTTCAGGACAGGGGTCATTAGGCTTAGGGGCTGCTTCTTCAGGCTCAAGGGGTCCACTCATTTTCTTGCAAATTGAAAGTGCTTTGAAGCTTCTGCAGTCCTTCACCTCCCACTTTCCAAGAGACTTTCCAGTAGACATAGCCACGCAGCCGCCCGGGGAAGCTGGGATTGAAGTGGAAAGCTCAATTAACAATTAAAATGTTAAAGTTCAAACATCTTCTAGTGTTCCTACTCTTTATTTCAGCCAAGTTGGGGAGAGAGAATAAAAAGACATGGAACAAAGAGAGGAAAGAAATGTGTTGTTCAGAATAATAATGATAGGTGTTTACTATTTGTAAAGTACTTTTTGAAAAAGATTAATCCTCACAACAAACCTATAGGGGGGATTCTATTGTCATAATTTGAGGTACAGTGAGAATTAAGTGACTTGTTCAAGGTCATAGAATTAGTAAGTGGTTGCCCCCAGGATTTGTGCCCAGGTGGTCTCTTTCTAGAGCTGTACCCTAAATACTATTGCTGCTTAGGATACTGGTTCAAATTAGCTTAACAACTTTGAGCAGTTTTTAAGCAACCTAGTAAACCTCAAAACACAACTCTCCCAGATTCTGATCCAAAGGAAAAGCTGGTATAATAAAGATAGAAGGAGGTATGTGGTAACATACATTTGTTTGCTGTTTATTTTATGACAGTCATAATTTTATGTATTCATAACAGTATTAAAAGTATGAAACAGTGTTAAAATAAATAATGCAAGATAGCCTCCATGATTCTTACCCATTGAGAATAATGGAAGAAAACACATTCAGTTTTGATAAAAGGTTAGGAAGCAGAGAGATGAAAATGTAAAGAGCCTCACATGGGCACTTTGAGATTCTATTTGAGATTTACACAGAAAAGATTTTAAAAACTCGCACTGGTGCTTCTAGCTCTGAGTCATTAGATGGTGGTTTGGGAGAACTAAGTTTTTGAACTTCTTTCACTGGATTATTCTCAAGGACATAATAGGGAAGACACAGCCAGTGCTTCTGTGTATTTTTCCATAGATAGCCTCCAATCCTGAAGATCATCACGTCCCTCACATTTCAAAAGTAAGTGAGGAACACCTTTGAGAGGAGTGCTGCCTTTCACTTGTCACAGTATACTGCTACTTTAGTGCAGCACACCAACATGGCACATGTATACCTATGTAACAAACCTGCATGTTGTGCACGTGTGCCCTAGAATTTAAAGCATATATATAAAAAAAGATTAAGACACTCACCTGGCTCAAGAAAATTCCAGTTGGAAAAGGTTACAGACCGCCTTGTTCCACCAACAGTTGCCCAATTATACTCGCCACGAGAATCTACATCTCTCAGGCCAGTCCAGAAGTATTTTCTTAGAGATTTATCATACTTTTTCATCAAATCATTTAGGTATTCTTGCTCAAATCTACAAAAGGAGAATCAAATTGGCAAGTGTTTCACAATGATTGACTCTATTTGAAGATGCACCTTTTTCTTATGAAGACTGTTTAGCAAAAGAACTCAGAGTTGAAAGTTTCTGAGTACAAGTTGACTGATGGTCACACCTGCTAGTGATAGTCAGATTGCAGTTTGTTCCAAAAGGGACCTCATCCTCGTAAATCTTGTAACAGGTTTCTCCATGTCTCTTCCAGCCCTAAATCAGAGGAAAAATACTGTCAAACTGTTTTCCAGACTTGATGGTGTCCCCGTCTGTCAAGCATGTTTCTGTTACATTGATAGCATCTTAGAACATGTGGAAATTGAGGACATGGCTATTGAATTCACACATGTGATGGGGGTGGGATGCAATTTCACAGATAACTTCCACAAGACTGTGAGCCTGTGTCAGACAAAAGGTATGGGTTAATTCTCTTTATCCTTGGAGGCTGGCTCATCATAAAGAGTATAATAGTCACTGGATGAATTATTTTTGAATATTGATAATATTAGTGGGGGAAGTAAAGACATCAGCCTTGAGGCTAGTAATTCTACAAATATTTATAGAAATTTTCAAACTTCTGCTTCTGTAAGAAGCAATATGCTGTAACTCACTGCCTTCTGGCTTGTTCTAACATAAATGAACAGAAACTAGTAGTTTCCTCAATTTTATAAGTCTGAATTATTTAAGTCTCAGCTACCATTTCTAACCAAGAAGTTGTAACACTGCTTGAGAAAATTTACATAGGGATTCACCTACCTCATTTGGAGGACACATCTTATCAGAACTTGTGTCGTTCAGTTTTTCTCCCTTTCTCTTGCATACATATTTTAGTTTCTCCTCACATGATTGGACTTTCCACTGACCTAGCTTTGAAAGGAGACAAAAACATTTGCTTGGAAAGGAAATTATTTACCGCATATTCAAAACTGAACTCACAAAAACTATGAGAGAGAGAGAGAGAGAGGAAGAGGGAGAGAGAGAGGGGGGGAGAGAGGGAGGGGGGGAGAGAGAGAGAGAGAGAGAGAGAGAGAGAGAGAGAAAGAGAATTAATATAAATGAATTATCAAATGTGAGAACACACTGCTAGAAAATGCTACTCAACAGGCCTGCAAAGCGATGGCTCACAACCAGTTACCTCAGCATCACCTCCAGGTCACATTGTGGATAAATTTCATTTTCTTATAAGAGTAGCAATAAAACCATCAAAGGACACTTAGTATAAAAGCTGAAGAGAGAAGAACTCAGCCCACAGTTTCAGCATTCTAATCTTCTTCCCTAAGGCACAGCCAAAGTTTGAAACTATTTTTTTTTAATTATTTTTTATTATTATACTTTAAGTTCTAGGGTACATGTGCATAACGTGCAGGTTTGTTACATATGTATACTTGTGCCATGTTGCTGTGCTGCACCCAAGTTTGAAACTTTTAGGCACATCATCAACCTTCCTTTCTCAGTTTCCTCACGTGTAAAATGATGACGGTGGCTAAAATAGCTGTTCTCCACGAATTCTAGGTCAAAAGTTTCTTTCAACTCTACTTCAACCTGGACTTCAAAATTCTCTCTTTCAAATATGCTATTTAACATTAATTTGCTTAATTGACTGAGTCACTTTGCTTTCTTCGAATTAAATTTTAATAAGATGATTGTGATAAGGGTCAGTTTTGAACATTGGAATGCTGTCTAGGTATGCCATCAGTTCACTCTTGCCCATGGGAACCCCTTTCCATTTCTGATGTTCTTTTAAAGACATGTTGGATATCATTTTGAATAGAGCTTCAAATGTGACACCTTTCTAAATTTCTTTTAAACACACATATTTATTGCTTCCACTTAAGTCTCTTTAGATGTCTAAGTGACACAGTCACTTTCAGTAACCAATTAGGAGTCCACGGGAAAGTGATACAAACAAAACATAGAGGTACATATATCTTTTCTGCTCAAGACACAGCCTATTTTGGATTATTAAGGCTGAGCACTCTATAGGAGTAAGATGGTTTCTGAAAGATGTTAGGCCTAATTTTTAAATAAAATCATTTTTTCACTTTTCAAAGTAGTATCGATATAAAACAATCTGAACATGAATTTGGAAGATGGGATTTTTCAGGTTAAATTGTGGTTAGCCAAATATCACATTGATGGCAGAAAGGTGGGTGGAGGCCCTGGTCCTGAGAGAAAGCAGGTTGCTAGAATCAGTCTGGCACAAGAATCTGAGTTCTAAAGGGATTCTCTGTATCTGTTTGAGACCAGAAAAGATGCTCTCAGATAGGATGTAGGTTGCTTACTTAGTAATTGCTTTTATTTACCTTTTTAAAGTAACTACCAGAAAGACAATCTAGAGATTATTTTTTGCCAACCTTTGGCACCAGGGACCAGTTTTGTGGAAGACAATTTTTTTCCACAGAGAGTGGCGAAGAGGATAGTTTTGGGATGAAACTGTTCCACAAGGAAGTGCAACCTAGATCCCTTGCATGTGCAGTTCATAATAGGGTTCGCCCTCCTATGAGAATCTAATGGTGCTGCCGATCTTACAGGAGGCGGAGCTCGGGCAGTAATGCTTGCTTACCCGCCACTCATCTCCTGCTGTGCGACCCAATTCTTAACAGGTAATGGTCCGTGGCCCTGTACCCTGATCCAGAGGGCTCTTACCTTTTCTTTTCCAGCTTATACACAAACTTCCCAACCAAAGAAATCTTAATATTATCATTAAGTGAAACAATAAGAATATAAAGAAACCGTAGGAGGTTTCCTACCTCTCCTAAGTAGGAAACACAGTTAGGCGTCTTATTGTAGGGAACATTTGGCTCATTCTCATCCCAATATGTTAGAGTAACTTCAGTACCATCTGACCACTGAAATAAAGTTGGTATATTTATGTTCTTAAGGCCTATCCATACTTCTTCTTTGGTATCTAAAAGAAAAATGTTTTATTTCTTTGGTTTTGCTCAATTACATACTTTAATATTTATATTGTTATACGAATTTTTACACTCTGATACGGAGTTTTAAGAGCCTTTGTAGTACTCTTAATTTGGTTATTAATATGTTGATAAGACAGGCAGGTTGGGTAATGAAGGCTTTTTAAGTCACTTATGCCAGTAAAGTACACGGGTAGAACAACTGCAGGCTGAGTGTTCCTGATATCTGGTGTAGATAAACTTTGCTTTGTGGGATGAATGAAATTCTACAAATACAATCATACATATCCCAGTTTGAACAGAAATACTGTCCACTGCTGCCCTGGTATGACTCTGCTGCCTTACAAGTGAAACAAGGAGCACCAGGCTGGCACTGAGTAGGTATCTACTCTTAGCTATTATTAGTGAATTCTACGAAGAGATCATAATACTGTCAGTCTAGTATATTTTCCTTTACCAGTATTTAGCTTTCAAGTAATTACAAAAGTGAAGTAATTATCACTTAAGTTTTCTGAGCAACTTAAATAAAATTTAGCTCATGAGAAGAGGGAGATCATTCAATCAATGGTAGTACTGTCAAATTGGTTGCCACTAGGCACATGTGGCCACTTAAATTAGTTAAAATGAAATAAAAGTAATAATTCAGTTCCTCAGTTGCCCTAGCTACATGCCAACTGCTCAAAAGCTGCATGTGGCTAGTGGCCACCATACTAGACAGTGCTAATTGTAGAACAGTTCCATCACCAGAGACAATCCTATCTGACAGTGCTGACCTGTGGGATCAGACTGTAAGCTTTTCATTCCCACCAAGAGTCTAAAACCAGGGATACTTTAAAATGCCTTAAGCCTTTCAAATAGGATATTTTTTAAAACTTACCCTCATTATGGAGTTTTGTGACCACCACCTCCACATCTGCTAAAGAATGAATGCTGATTAGGTCACCACTGAAGTCTTTGCATTTCGCATGTGCCTTATCCCAGGAATTACTTTCATTTACCAGCAGATAGCAAAATCCATTATTTGGCAGCCAGCCTGCATCACAGCGGGTATCTGAGTATGTCCAGACATCTGGGGGAAAAGCAGCTATTTATATTCCAGTAAAGATACATCTATTTGAATCAATAACATTGCAAATTATTTTTTCTTGAATAATGAGGGTCCTGGAAAACTGGGGAATGTGATGTCAGATGCTACAGTGACATGAATTCATGTGGTGCCTATCACATAAATGAGGTATATATGGCATCGTAGGAATTCCCACTGGGATTCAGAAAATGATGTGACTTTAACGTGCTTCAATGCGTTATATGGCTGAGCACAGACTATTAAAGGGTTTGGACGCAATCAAGGGAGAGATTGCCCTTAGTCCAAGTAGACAGTAGAAAGATGTGCCTTAAGTCAGTTTCTGACAAATCTTTTCCCGGGTATGGAATTTGTTAGGTTTCCCTCCAGTCTCTGTCCTTGAGAAGATTATAAGAGGGCGAGCCTCGTTTTCTTGTATGGTCAGCTTAGCAAGGGGATGTAGATTAATGCTCACTGTTGAACAAAGGACAGGCAGAGATTTAAGGGACAGAATAAGACGTTTATATACTTCGCATCCAAGAGATGGCAGCAACGGAGGGAAAGGGCAAAGGTTACCCCTGCACTTCTTTCCTTCCCTCTGCTAGACAGACGGACCTCACGGAATTAGTGATTCTGTTTTGACCATGATAAAGCTCACAATCAAAGGTCTAATTTTTCCAGATTAGAAAAAAATAATGAAGTATAAAACCCTACAGAATACTTCTACCCCTGTTAACAAAACCAGAAAGTGAGTTGGTTACTCAGACTTCACTGATTCAGAACCATTTGGAATATCTGTTGTAAGAATGCACAGCATCTTAAAAATGTGGACAGTTTGTTTTCTTACTGAAGGATAAAGTGATTCAGATTCAGCTAACCTCTTACACTTGCAAGATAACTCAATTAACTTTAATATTCTGAAATAGCATGTATTATTGTTATATTTTATAATTATGATAAAGGAACAGAGGAAAAATATCACCCACAATGGAGCTTAATGCAATCATTTTCATATTCTAGTCTTTGTCTCAATGAATATATATTTTTACAAGATTAAAATGATAAGTAGGAATATCATTTGGTTTTGTTCTTTGTATTTTCCTGCTGGCACAGTTATTTTAGTAAATGCATATTATTCAATCATGTGGAAACATCATGATTTACTTAATAATTGCTACTGCGAGATATTTACTTAATCTATCATCAATTGCTCTAGCTTATTTTCATTTGTGCTGGCTTTTCTATTATGCCTTTTGTTGTATGGACTAAATGCAGTTTGAATCAACTTGGAAGACAAATGTTCATTTCCCCTATTATCTTAAAATATCCCCTTACATTCTTTATTTTATATCTAGTTTTTCCTTAAAAATTGCTCTATGCTCCTTTTTAGATGACAAGACATTTGGATGCTTTATTCCCTTCACTCATAGTTCCTTTTAAAGCAGGACATTTAAAAATCATCCTTTCCCCTTGATATGGTTTGGCTGTGTCCTCATCCAAATCTCACCTTAAATTCCCATGTGTTATGGGAGGAACCTGGTGAAAGGTAATTGAATCATGGGGGCAGATCTCTCCCGTGCTGTTCTCGTGATAGTGAATAAGTCTCACGAGATCTGGCGGTCTTATAAGGGGGAGTTTCCCTGCACAAGCTCTCTTTCTTTGCTTGCCACCATCCATGTGAGATGTGACTTGCTCCTCCTTGCCTTCCACCATGATTGTGAGGCCTCCCCAACCATGTGAGACTGTAAGTCTATTAAACCTCTTTTTCCTCCCAGTCTTGGGTATGTCTTTATCAGTAGCATGAAAATGGACTAATACACCCCTCCAGTTTTGAGTATTAGTTTCTCTCATTTGGTGAGGATGTAATTAAATACCAGGTATACATCAGGCCCTGTGCTTGACAGTCAAGGCACTCCTCTTCTCCATTCTTTCAAAAACTCCTCACACCCTTCCACTCCTCAAAAACTTCAGCTGTTCTTATGTCTCTTTCATCCCCAAACTCCCTGGAAAACCCCCCTCATTGTACACATTTTGTCCCTCTGCACCTCTCCTTTTTTACTTGATTTTTCAAGGCAAAGACCTGCCTGGCAGAGAAGGACAGAAGAGGGCCGGGTGCTGTGGGGCACAGGGTGAAGAAGCCTGGGATTACTCCTGTGTCCATAGGTTTTGCCTTGTTACGGAGGCATGCACAGTAGTGGTTCTCAGACTTGAATATGCATCAGAACCACCTGGAGAGCTTCTTAAAACATAGATTGCTGGACCCCATCCTCTAGTTTCTGATGTAGCAAATCCGTGGTGGGTCCTGAGAGTTTGCATTTCTAACAGGAAGAGGTGATGCTGATGCTGTTGGTCTGGGGACCACCCCTGGAGAACCGCTGCTCTGGAGAAAAAAGAGCCACACACGAACAGAAGTATATTTCCTATCTCGAATATCTCTGCCTTCTTCTGGGCAAGTACATCCTTTTATTTAATATTCTTTATTACCTCAACCAAAGCTTTATTCATATATGGTTGATAACGTCTAACCACAGGGTTCAAAATCAAGTACTTTTCGGTACTATCAGTATCAGGAGAAGGAAAGGTGGAAATGGATGTCGGAAAAGATTTACTTGTTTTCACAAAACTATGATTTTAAGACCTATTTGTATAAGCATGTAAGAAAGATACCTGTTAACTCCACCGTATTATTTAATGGTTTCCTGCAGACATAGGGAAGTTGAGCGTCACAAGAAAAGCTCTGCCACAGACCAGACTCAGCATCCATTCTTGCGCAGCTGGAGCCACCTATAGTAGGTGCACTGGGTCTGTCTTAAAAGGGAACATTTTTCAAAGCATTAGAATGAGAAAGTTAGGGCCAGGATGGTGGTCATAAAGAATAATTTGTATTCCTAATTTTATGCTTTTATGGGAACTCACAGTATAGTTAAAACTTAGCTAAATTGAAATGTATAAGCCTCAATGAATAATTATGTGCTTAAATATGTCTTTCTTCTAAAATATAGGATCTAAGGGGAAAATATTATGATACATTGTAGTTAATTTTAAAAACAAAAACAAAAACAAAAACTTTTTCCTTAAATGACTTCCAGGTCATATTCTGTGGTTAGTAGCTCTTAATCTGCTACTCCATAAAATAAAAATATTAATTTATCATTGTCATGCCATTAAGGCCTTGAGTTAAAGATTAAATTATCTTTAAAGATTCTATTTAGTGAAATAATAAAAGTATTACTTCATTTGCTGATAAGGAAATTTAGCAAACTAAATTAACTAAAGTGACTAATTGGAATTTTATTGCTCTTAACTCAGTTTTCCTATATGTGTACAGAGCAGTTTTATATTGAAATCAGTGTTAACTTTAGGTTCTACATTTGTCGTAAGTCAAAGATTTTATTTTATTTTTCAAAATTGTCTAATCCTTCCTTTGGGGAGAAAATCTTTTGGCTAAATGGCATTTTGTTTGTTTTATTCCCTAAAAGACTCTCTTTGAAGTATTTATTTGTATTAGAAAATACAACCATGATGTTGTCAGTACTTGCATGCTATAGTGGGGAGAGACCCCAGGAGTTTGAAAATGAAGGGATATGTCCATATTAGAGTTAAGCTGCAGATGAAACACAGCATGGGTGAGTCATAGCCATGCCAAGTCCTTTAGGGACACAGAATGGCTTCTGGGCCATGTGGTGGAGCTCCTTCTGCTCTTACATAAAAATGCAGGGTTGTTCTAAAGGTCTAAAGGTTCAAATGCCCAGTTGTCCATGGTGTGGTTCAGCTTGGCAATAACAGTATCACAATTAAGAATGGTTTAGGAAGAAAACATTCTCTGAGAGGTAACCATAGTAAGAGTTGCCAAGATGTGAAACTTTTCTAAGCTATTGGTGAGTGAGAAGCTTTTGCTTTTTTGAAGATTTGTTCTGTGCAGAGGGGTGGGGAAGGAGCAGTTACCTGGATCCCAGTTGAGAAAGTTTAATGGTTTGTGATCTGACCATTCCCAGCCTCTAGCAGAGTATAGCTGATTTAAACCAATCCAGAAAATTTTAGCAATGCCTTCTTTTTCTGTAAGAATTAAAAAATTTTTAAAAGTGACAAAGTTGCCTAAGTTATTATCTAAGTTAGACTTATTCTACTAATAACAAACAAATGTGCAGACCTTGATTGTAAGGCAGCAGTCCCTGTAGGAGGCTGTCTATGCATCAAAGGCAGGCAATGCTAATAGACAAAAGTCTTCAGACTATTGAGAAACCCAAAGGCTGATAAGTTAATTCAATTCTTCTCTCCTATTAGCTTGTCAAATTCGCTTTCATCTAAGGTAAGAACAGAAGCTTCTTAGAGTAGCTGTCTCACTATCTATTTTTAATCCTCTTGTATTAACATAGAAGACTTATCAAAAGCAGTTTCCATTGTACTTCTAGATTTGGAAGATCTGACTGGATTCTAGACCGACAATTTAAATTCATTAGGCACACATATTATTTGCCAGGTTCTAGGGATATAAAAACTGAAATGACAAAGTCCCTGCCCTCATGAGAATTTCAATCTAGTAGAAGGAGACAGACATGGATCCCTCAAATGATCAAGTTTTTCTGGGACTGGATCAGAAATATGTATAGCAGCTGTTTCATAGATAATGAAATACACATATATGACTCATGGCTCTAGGTCCCAAAGGGTCCAGTTTAGACTACAGGTACAGAATGAGAGTCACACACGCGCACACACACACACATGCACGCATGTGCATGCATGCAAACACACATGCACACACACGTGGTACAATGGAGATAGATCATTCAAATTTATTATTTGATGACCAGATGCTATCAGCAATTAAGAAAGATAGAAGGTGGGTGGATCACCTGAGGTTAAGAGTTTGAGACCACCCTGGTCGACATGGTGAAACCCTGTCTCTACTAAAAACACAAAAATTAGCCAGGTGTGGTGGCGTGTGCCTGTAATCCCAGCTACTCGGGAGGCTGAGGCAGGAGAATGCTTGAACCCAGGAGACGGAGGTTGCAGTGAGCCAAGATCATGCCACTGCACTCCATCCTAGGCGACAGAGCAAGACTCTGTCTAAAAAA